CATAATGCTGGTGTAAATGTATAACCAACAAAATACTATAAAAATTTAGTTAAAATTTTGTGGCCGGTTTGGAAGGTGGTTAAGGCAGTGGTTTGGTGAGCAAAATCATGGCAAGAAAGGGCAGGTTTTGATTCTGTTGGAGTGTAAAAAAAAAAAATGAAAAAGGATGATTTGAATTGATGGTTCGTGATCGATAGATGTGAATACGATCAAGAACATGGACCACAAATCGTTGGAATTCAAACGTGACTGTGGAATCTCGATCTAATCATCATGCATTAAATTTGATGGGCCATCTCATTTGTGGTTGTGAATTATGGTTGAACCGGTCTTTTATTTAACATCGATCGACTTGTTCCACGAATAAGTTGATAGAATTTTGCAGGCTTTTCTCTCGGCTTCTCGATGCCATTTTTAGTTGGTAAATTAGCATGCACTGATATAGCCACATAAATATATAACAAATCAACTTAAATTTGTAAGTGAAATCAACATGTAATCATAATATACATAAACCCTAAAATATTTAAAGATCTAGCTTAATCACAAACTGGAATTAAAAAAGAAAGTTAACGGAATACCTCCATTCATCTTACAGAATTCATTCTTAGTGAAATTATGTGCATCACATATGTTATGGTGTACGTATACTAACTATTAAGACAACTATATATTAAGAAGTTAAACGTTTTTAATAGCATACTAAATCAACGATATGCATTTCCTTTGGATTTAATCATGTCGAGCATGTATTTTATAAGGGGTGCAAGAGGTGCATTTGCACCTAGACCCATATTTCTAAAGCAAATTTCTTTACCAAATAAATCATGTTTATCTGTTTTTTTTTTCTTAAATGGTCCAAGAATATATAGATAAGGTTTTTTGGAAGAAAAACAAATTTGCACTGAGTCCAAAAAGACTTGAGCGGGGCCTGCATGTATACATAAGTATTTATTTAATATGATGTATCAATTTAGAGACTCTGATTCACTTTTATAATTCGTAATTTCGTATCATTCACTTATAAACTATAATCATATGAATATTCAGTTACTATGAATGAAGTATGCATATAAATAATCTATAATTAGGGATTTAGATATATTGCATGAACTTTTATTAGATACGAAACAAACTTTTTCTTAATTGCTAAAAGGTTTCCAACGACAAACAAACTTCATAGTAGAATACCCTTTCC